ATGGATGGATGGATGGATGGATGGAATAAGTGGGATTTGGTGGATAGATGGATAGCAAAAAGTAATATCCAAATAGGAAATTCATTCAGAATTAAACAAAAACCAACAACAACAACAAATACAAAAATATAAAACAAACCTGTAATCTTGGATTTTGGGATCAAAAGTACATTTCTTGTCTTTTTCTTCATTTCTGACATCTCTGCATTAAATTTTTCTCTCCATTCCAGAAAATTCTCCTTTGTAACAGGAGTCCCAGTAAATTTTTTCTTTTCTCGTTCTTCTTCTTCTTTCTCTCGTCTTCGTTTTTCTTCTTCCATTCCTTTCTTAATATTATCTACAAATTCTTGAAGCTTTTCTTGAGCAGAAGACACCAAGGTAAAAACCATAACCATTCCAAGATTTTCTTCTGCCTGAAGAATACTTAGTTGTGTTATTTAAGGAGATCAAAGGTGGTGTAGCAGAAGTGCACTCGCCTCTCCATTCTGCAATCTCAGGTTAAATCCTTTGACATGACATCACATGTGATCAAGTTTGATGGGCTCATCTAAGTCAGGGTATACCTTACTTACAGATAGATTGGATTTTGCATGTTACGTTTTGTAGAAGGAGGAAAACTGAAGAACCCAGAGAAGAACCCTTGAATCTCTGGGGGGTACTCCCCTATATTCGCTATATGGGTACGTGCCACCAAACAGGGTATGGTTTTCAGCGATTCTACTCTGGAACAGGGTATATGAAATCACGCTCTCTCCTCTCTGGAACAGGGTTTTCAGCAATCTTGCTCTGGTACAGGGTATGAATTTCAGCATTTTTTACTCTGGAACAGGGTCAGGGTTCAGAGGGCTCAGCAGCACAACCCTACTCTAAACAGGCAAGAGTACCCCCCTCCCAGGCCTTGAATCAATAGAGAAACCTAACAAACTCTGCTTACGTGCGATGCAGAGTCCAGGGATCAAACCCTAGAGCCCAGAGGTGAGTGACAAGTGCACTTACTGCTATGCTACCTTTGAATCCATGCATTCCTTGTTTCTTTTTTTCTAAGACAATACTATTTTCAGCAGCAGGGCTGTAAGAAGAGCCAGGATAAATAGTTCACGGGGTATAATAACTTTCATTTTTACCTCTTTCAACATTAGCTCTTCTAATTCTTGAACATTTTCATCGGTAAGTATTTCATTAGATGACACTTCAATCAGTGGGATTGCATCAGGATAGTTCTCTACATATGTGAACTGGATATCTACCTTTGCTGAACAATCAAAAATAATTTGATAAAATTACAACCATGATAAATAACTACATTATAAAGATAATTCATAACTCTGTCAATAAACAAGATTTAGCATTGGTTCTAGAAGGTGGATAATCTGCCAAAAATTCAAATTTGAATTTAGCAGTTGATTTTTGTGGATGAAGAAAACTAGGGAACCCAGAGAAAAATCCCCAAATTGGTCAGTTTGAATTATTACTTTTAAATGACATATGGACACCATAACTTTTGGTAACTTGAAGTTGTAAAGTAAACCTGTAGACAAATGCCATTAGCCATGAAGCATTATTTCTAGATATTGTGAAGAGACAATAGACAATAAATTCATCATTTTTTTATCATAATTTTATCTTACCTACAATTTCTGGGAAGTCCTCAGTTTTCTCATTAAAAGCTTTTATACACATTTTGAAACAGATTGGATCTTCATTGCTAATAACTATGAAAAATACAATGTATATTAATATAATATTATTACTTATATGACTAGTGGGGGAAGGGGGGTAGTTTAGCAATATGGAGCTTGAGCATCGTTTTAAAAGCATCAAAGGTAGTATACTGAAATAATGACATGAGCACTTACAGTTGCATGGAAACTCTATTATCCTTGGCAATAAGAGAATGGCTAAGAAAAGGAAAGCTGTGCATGCATGATAAATCTTTTTGATAATGTCCTAATGTCATTCTTTCAAAATCTCCATCTCCATATGCTTGCCAGTGGTTTAGGTCCCTATTGTCTACAGAACTAGTAGAAGCACCAACAGTCCCCAGCTGGCCACCCCTCCCCTCCCTGGACACATAAAGGACACACAGCAGTATCTCTAGTTTCTTGAGAAATATAGAATTTTGAGACCATGTTGCTGACCCAGTAGTTAACCAAGACATTAAATACCCAGGGGGGGGGGGAGGGGAGGGGCAAATATAGGCATGTTCTGCATTTTAAATTTACACATTAAATTTAACAACAGTCTTTGAGGGTTGATTTAAGCAGCATTTGTAATCGGTAAAATAAGTTACAATAAATTAATCATTCAATTAAACAAGAGTTTCCATAAAAGCTCTAGTTGACTGAAGTTCAACTACAGCATAAACATCATAAACGTGGTCAGCTGCATCTAGGCAATGAACCTTGTGTTAATTATGGTATTTTCATAGGATACCGTATCATAAACTAAAGATAAACTTAGGATTAAATTGAAAAATATTTCCAAAATTGTAGGTAACAATTAACTTTTCTTACTCGAGAACTCCTCAGGATAAATAGACTCCAGCGCCTCTAACTCGTTATGTTGTTCTTCCTTGTAGTCTGTCATGGTTAAAGTCAAAGATTTAAGAGACAAACTTTATAAAAACCTAAACGTAACTACATTTTTTTACATCAAAGAAAATTAACTTTGATTTGAATGACTTTGTCCGCCATGTTTGATGAGTCACATGGCAGACAGCCTCTCTTCAGAAGTATCAATAAATATTTCTCAGGGAGGGGGCAAGTAAATATTTTGATTCTCTTTTTAAAACATTACTGTTAATGAAAAAGATGATACTAGAAAATTTTGAAAATGTGAAATAAAAATTTAGGTGATTTTTCACCAATTTATAAAGTTTTAAATTCGTCTTAATAAAAGATATGAGAAGAATGAAGAAAGGAACTTACCCTCCCCTCCCTAAGTTATTTATCCAACCCAGGCTACATTGCGCGCCCTTGTCCTCAACACATGCATTGAGTCGTTTATATTGGTTTGGAATTGTGTTAAATGATTGAAGAAAATCTGCTCAAATGAACCAGAAAATACGTTAAGAGAAAGCTGAAATGGCTGACAAAGAACAAGGTACAGTTTCTTTACCTAAATCGAATTGCATTATTGCAAGATTTCAAGTAAAACCATTTTTTTCTGCAGGCCAAAAAAAGCCTTCATCTGAAGTTGTCAAGGACGAACCAACACCAAAACGAGTAAGTTGTTGATAAGATGTCACTAAAAAAACCTTGTTTAGTACGATCTCCTGGACGATCTGGTCTTTGATTTAACTTTTACCGATTAATGAAATATCAATCTCCTTCGTTAGATTCGTCTAGACTCTACAGAGTTGAGGGAATCTTCACACGATAATCTGTCTACCAAGTGAGTCTTTGTTTTGTTTGCAGTTTAATGATRTGCTAAAACATCTTGTAGTAAAAATCATACACCATAAAAAAAGCGCCAAAAATCAGCAAGGAAAAGAATCAATTTGTTGCAAAAAGCTAACAGATGTTTTTAGTTGGTGTTTTGATTCAAAGCTGTCAACAAGTTGTTAAATGTGTTAGAATATTACATTATGTAAAACAAACTGTTTTAAATTGCCTTCATTTAGACAATAAGAGGTGGACTGATCATTGACTAGCATTATTCCATCTACAAAGGGTGTATTGCGCTATCTGGACCCGGCTGTACGAAGGGTGGATAGCACTATCTGATAGATAAATCCTATCCAGTGGATAAAGTGATGTTTTTATTCAATTAAATTTATCCACTAGATAAGATTTATCTGTTGGACAGTACTATCCACCCTATATACAACCGGGCCCAGGTAGCTAAGCACCAAGGAAGCATAAGAGTTGCTTGAGGCATAGCCTTCTGTGACTATAGCTTCTTGAGTACAACCAATCTAGCGACCGACCTATTATATTGTGGCTTTGTGATTCCGCACACATTCATCATTTATTTTCAATTTATTTCAGATGGAAGAAGCAGGATGCATATGTAAACTTTCTTGAAAATAAGCTTGAAGCTGGTGATCAGAGTTCAAATAGTAAGTACTAACTACTTGAATTTAGTTTATTAGGTTTTGCAAAGGGAGGAAAACTAGAGAAAAACCCCTTAATCAAGGGAGAGATCTAACAAACTCTACCTACATGTGATACTGAGTCAAGGAATCAAACCTGAGACCCTTGAACTACATTACACTTGACCCATTCAACTCCAAACACATGTCTGTTTCTGACATTTCTTATGTTTGGAAGTTTCCAGTAGATATTATGATTTGTAAAGTTATCCATTTTTTGAAGGTGAACTTGCTGGATTACGGGAATCTGAAGAAAGGCTTAAACAACAACAGCAAGAGTCAACAAGAAGGGAAAATGTACTAGTGATGAGGTTGGCCACCAAAGAACATGAAGTGCAAGACTTACTGGTGAGAACTATTGAACTGATAGAATGTTGTTGCCCTTGTCTACCATATGACATCATCTTGTCTTTAAATATCAAAATGCCATCAAGCAATCCTCTAATGTTTGACATATAAAGTCGTAGAAGCCGTTCAACTTATATCATCATACTGAATATTATGTCACAAGATGATCTGACAAAGATTAAATGTTTCAATTAGACTCAGATACATGACATGAAGCAAGCTCAGAATCCTTCCAACATTCAAATGAGATCCACACTCTTGGACCCTGCTGTCAATTTACTTTTTCAAAGAATGAAAACAGAACTTGATGAATCTAAAGAAAAATTAGAGCAAGCTCAAAGTGACCTTGGAGCCTGGAAGTTCACTCCTGATAGGTAAAGCCAAATGGGCTGAAATTGTGCTGTACATGCATCTCAAAATATCTATACTGCCCATTCATAGAGGGATTCAAATTTTTAATGGTTGGGGAGGGTCTGAGGAAACTATATCTTGCATAGTTCTAGAAGATACTCCTTCCATAGAGGGAAACTGGGATATCCAAGGAGTATGAGTGACTGAGAAGAGTGTACATGTATTATGTAGAAAATATCCATTGCATACCTCCCCTAATAGCAAAGGGTGAAACAGTGTATTCCTGTAGAAGCACCCCCATTCCCCCCTTCCCCCTCCCCCCACTCCCTTGCTCTATGGGAAAGGTAGAATATTTGTTATGCATAGTATATTTATAATGATATGTTATGGTGATTTATTACAGTGTAACTGGTAAAAAGCTAATGGCAAAGTGTAGAATGTTAATTCAAGAGAATCAAGAACTTGGTCGGCAGTTGTCTCAAGGTCGTGTTGCACAGCTGGAGGCAGAATTGGCTTTACAAAAGAAATACAGTGATGAGTTGAAGAGCAGCCAAGATGGTATGCTTTTTTTTACTATCCATTACCATGTTTGTGGTGTTCCTCATGATTATCACTGGGACCATATTCTTCATTCAGTAAATACCACTGTTATCGGACTCATTTGTTCAGGTTTAGCTTCATTTGAGAGCAAATTATTTTCAAAATTCAAATGTAATGTCAAGACTGTGCAACGTGAACAATACCAATGTTTTTAAATCCCTCAGTCATTTAATAATATCTATGAATAGCTGACTAATCACCAAGGCTAAACCTGTATAAATAAATCTTTGGTCATCAAAACAGTGGCCAATTTAGAATCTTCAGGAAAATCTATACTTTTCCTTAAGGTAAGCTTGATTTAATTTAGAGAATTCTGTTCCTTTCAGAGCTCAATGGATTTGTTATTCAGTTAGATGAAGAAGTAGAAGGAATGCAATCTACTATAATGACTCTACAACAACAGCTAAAATCTGTCAAACAACAACTAGTACAACAAAGTGAAAGAACTCAAGAGTTACAAACAAAATATGAAGACATGGAAAGAGAACTAGAAGCTGCTAAACAACAAAATGCTAGCACAGCTGCCATATCATCTAGAGACCAAGTGGCAAGTAGCGAACAAGCAAAATGTGTTGTCAAAGAAGATATTGAAATTCAGACTGATGGTATTTGGGATTCTTCAAATACTCCTTCAAAAGAAAAAATAAGAACACCAACCCCAAATAATGTTTCCTCTACCAGTAACATTAACCCATCTTCATTCTCAATCAATAACTTACTATCTCTAGAGACCCCAAAACAAGACAATAAACTCTCAGTACATGCGGTTGTACCTAAACTAGAAAATGGACATGAGGGAGGGGACCCTGCAGGAACAATCAGACCTTCTCCACCCCCTTTAGAACCCGGTGACTCTAATCCCTTGCAAGCCAAGGGTATAGCAGATGGGATTGGGACAGAGGTAAATGCATTTAATGTCGAAACAGTGAATTAAAGATTTTTCATTGAACCTTTAAATCATTTTCTACAGTAGACCACAGTATGCTTGCCTATTATCATGGAAGTTTTTGCGGATATTTAAAACCGTTCACTTTTTAGCAATAAATCCTGGCTTTTTACTATTTCTTTTCTTAGTCCTTTCTATTACATCTGGGTTTGTTTTCCTCTATATCTTCATTATCTTGTATCATAACTCTGAAGAATACCTGTACTTCTCCTTTATACAAACTCCAAAGGAATAAAAACCAAACTTTGAAAATTGTTGYTTAATTTAATCTGATAACATAACGTTCTTGTATTGACATTAATAATATATTAATGCATATTAGATATTTTCGTAAACAAAACTTCTAATAGTTCCTTTCTCCTGAAAACAAATTTATTAAAACGAGAAACAAGCGAGAGAAAAAAGTTTGCCGAAACCCGGGATTGTTCAGAGTTCCTACTAACTCTCCGGTTTGAACCAGGGACCTTCAGATCTTCAGTCTGACGCTCTCCCAACTGAGCTATTTCGGCAATTCATGAATGATGAGCAAAATAAAATGAATAGATCAATAGACAAAACTAAAATATAATAAATTACTAAAGAATGCTGTTTATAGCCATCATAGAGCTTAAGCATGGAAGAGTGGTTTTAAAATAACTCATTAAGTGAAGTATTAATCCTCAGATATTTAGCGTGTATCGCGCTATTCCTTGCTAAATAGGTTGAACAGAAAAAAGTCTCATGCTGTTAACCGTAGTGTATATCGTCATGATAATATGCCCTTCCTTAGTTGAAACAAAAACTCTGGGAAAGAAATTGTCTTCGTCACGGAAACGCCCATTTTATCGGTACTTTAGTGTTGTTAGCGGCAACTTCCGGAGCAATGGAATTTTCATAAGTGGCTAAACAGATCGTGTACTACTCTACACGAGGGTCTTTTATGTTTTTTTATCCTGATAATAAACCAGAAATCTGGCAATAGTATACCTAGTGTATGCTCTGTCAAAGGTCCTTAACTGAGTGTGACACTTCAAGATCTGGTTTGGTATTTATCATTTAAAATGTCGAGAAGAATTCTACGAAAGTCGGGAGCTCGGAAATTTTGGTTAAATTTAAAAGAACTTTCAAGAAATTTACTTCCATGGGTGATTGTTAGCCATTTCGTATTAACTATGGTATAACAGCGTGGTATATGGCCTTAGCCATTTCGTATGGTATAACAGCGTGGTATATGGCCTTATACTGTTGTAATGATATAACGTAGTTAACTATGTATACTAACTACTACTTAACAAAGGTCTGGCTCATAATAATTTTCACCGTGAACGTATCAGTTCAACGATCAATAATTCCTTTGATAAATCTAATCTTCAACAAAACAGAATGCACGTGGCCAATCCATGCTTGATCAAGACCACAAACAAAAACGACGTGCCGTGAAATAAGATGAAAATATTTCTCGATGCCTTAATATATCAAACGAGAATCAATCGTCTGTGCTAAGGAATGCATTAAGTTCAAACCGCAGCAACCACGCTGAAAAGGCTTTGACAAAACGGAATGATAATAACGTGACAACGACCATAAAAAATACTTCAAAAACATGTTTTTAGGCGAGGTGTTGACCTTTGACCCGCGACCGCAAAGCATCAATGGAAACAAATCTCTCATTGATACTTTTCCAGATCATCTGTATGTCGCTAAGCAGTCTTATCTTTTGGCGAACTTACTACAAGTATAAATACTGTCCAGAGTATTTCTATCTACACGGAATGTTAGGGGTAAGTGATATTGAACAAAGAAACGAAGGAAAGAAAAGAGGATTGAATAAATATGCTAGTGGGCGAATGAATGAGAAAGTCTTATGCACAATTTTTTTTTCTTTTTTCGACAAATTTTCAATGTAGGTTAATTGAATAGCTTTTTATATGTAATTTATATAATTTATCTGTTTATTCTAATTATCGTTGTTGTTATTGTTTAGGAAAGTCTTGCTTGGTCACGTGGTTCGGCAGCTGTCCTGTGGGTCAGTTGTAGCGTGATTCTCTTACCAATGTGCAGAAATTTGTTGACATTTATCAGAAAGAAAATACCAAAGGTAAAAATAAAAATAAAATATCGGGGAAAATCGAGAAATTAATTTTTTCAGCGTTAAAGAAAAATTCATTTTGTAAGTGATAAAGGTACTCGTATATATTTGTTTATAAACACTTATCCATTACCATCTAACAACTTATGTATATTTTCGCATGTTTTAAAAATTAGAAGTGAAAAAAATTATGAAGGAAAAAAATAAGTGCCCCGTGTGAGGATCGAACTCACGACCTTCAGATTATGAGACTGACGCGCTGCCTACTGCGCTAACGAGGCACTGTTGGATAAATCTTTCACGTTTAGGTAATTTATAGCTACGGGGATATCCACAAACCTAGTAATCTATTGATGTTTATGTTATTTAGTTCCTAGGACTGACCCTGAAAAGAATTATTGACAAACATGTTTGGATACACAGAGCATGTGCCATAATTACTGTGATATTTGCAGGTATGAGTTAACCACAGGAAGCCCACACCGCAATAATGATCGACGTCATCAGTCGGGAGACTGAGGGCCACAAGTTTATTAGTGTAGTACACTATTTAGTGCCACCCTCATTAAATAAAGTTGTTATTATTATTATTATAGACTGCCGGTCTTTTGCCTTTCTTCAAAGTTAAAATTGTGTAATAATCTATTAACATATCGTTTTTAAAAAGAAAATGTCTTATGGATTTTCAGCTATGCATACTGGTGCTCATCTCATCAATGGTAAACAGTTTTCTGATAACTACAATGAAAAATACCCACAACTAAACTTTGCTGACTACAAAAATCAGGTAAAAGCAACAATAACGAACAATAAAAAACATAATTATCTTATTTTAAAAAACTTAAAAAGATAAATAGACGGTGTTAAAATGTATGCGGGGTTGCTGTGGTTTCCGCATGTGCCATAGGCAACCCACTAAAACGTTTATCATATTTATATATTCATATATTTACTTTTATATTTCCTTCAGAATCCCCTGGAATTGGTATTGTTTTCAGGTAATTATCTGAATTTGAATCGCCCCTTCCAAATGTAAATTTTATATGTACATTGTACAATATGATTGGTTAATTTTCATGTTCTGCAATTTGATTGGTTAATTTTTATGTTCTGCAATTTGATTGGTTAATTTTCATGTTCTGCAATTTGATTGGTCAATTTCTATATTCTTCAATTTGATTGGTTACACTTTCTCGTTTTAGTTGCAGGAAGTACTGGTTTTGCTATGATGTTGATACTAGTTGTAATGGTAAGGGAACGGTAACGTAACGGTATCGAGTAGTCTAGTATTAATGGTCCATTTATAATTTACCGATTTCTGTTGCTGTTTTAGTTCTCTGCATCTACGTCTTCCGTGAAGTAAGTTCACATTAACTAGAATGGATTACTTTTAGAAAATTCAGATCAAAATCTCGAATTCTTCCCGCAGCTGTCCCTTATGGGAATAATGAGTAACAAGATTTCTTGTTTGTTGCCATAGAAACAGTTCGTATGAAGTATTCTGGTTCACGCATCATTTGTTTGTGGTGTTTTTAGTTTTACTTTCCATCCATGGTTTCGGGTAAGTACTGTTTTGGGTCTGTAATGTCCTTTTTAAACTTGGAAATCTTCAAAAACGGATGTAGTGTCCTTATCTGCCTTATTTTACAGGGGTGTGGTGAAACACCAAACAAACCTATCCATGCACCCCCCTGGCTGTGAGGTACGAAGGAATACCACGATTGCAACGTTGATTCAGAAAGAAGAATGTACTGAGGCTGCAGAGTTTGAAGCAGATGAACCACAGGTAATGCATAGCGATTGGCTAAAATTAGTCACTCAGTTTGATTGGTTAAAATCTCCCTTGATGCTTTACAACGAATGACCGTTCAGTATCCCAGCTTGCAAGGTATCAATCAAATTCAACAATGCGCATGTCTTCACAGGCCTGGAAGTTCCTTTTTGTTCCTCTGTGCATCTATTTATTGGACAGAATGATTCGTTTTCTGAGGAAGTTTGAGAAAGTTGAAATAGTCAAGGTATGTACTTGAAATCATATAAAGCTTAACGGGAATTTAAAATAACTTCTTATCACCGATGTACCCGCATCCAATAGGTCGTATGTCATTCAAGTGACGTAGTGGAGTTAAGAATGAAGATGAAACATTTAGAAGCTTCTCCAGGACAGGTAAGATCATGATGACACAGATAAAAAAACTTGCACAGTGAAGAAAAACGACATAGGTGTACTTAAATCGCTATTGAGATCGCTAACGCTAACGTATCTCACGAATATATATTAATCTTGTTTTAGTATGTCTACATTAGCTGTTCTCGTGTCGCCAAGTTTGAATGGCATCCTTTTACTCTTACAAAGGTAAATAAAGTTGCATTTTCGCGTCCGTGATTATTTTATCTATTTGGCAAATTGTTTAAAACTACAGTAATAACATTTTGCAATCGTATTCTTATTCATAACAATTTTTGTTCGAATGCGCATTGTAATGGCTTTATGTACTTTCTGATTAAGTGCCCGATAAGTGAAGACGATGTATTCTCGGTGCATTTCAAGATCACAGGCGATTGGACCAGTAAGCATATTCCACTCTAAGTCATTCTTCTTATATTCTGGATATTCTGAATATAACGAATATCCCATCATGTGTTAATAATTCTTTTCTTTGACAAAGGGAAGTTTTCTAGGGAGATCTTTGCATTTCGAGAAGATCCTGAAAAGCTTCCTCTTCTTGTCCAACGTGATAAGCAGTCATATATACTAAGACGATCATCTATAAGGTGCGTATTTAGGTGTCTATTGTGTTCGTGTTAATGATATAAAAGTAGACAACAGGTTTTATTTCTATGTAAGAATTGACAACATGATCAGTAGATAGGCATTGCGCAATTAGCAACTGACACCCAATCATCGTGTCGTTGATGTAAGGTATGGTAACATCATCAGTAGACATTGCGCTATTAGCAACTGACACCCAATCATCGTGTTGTTGATGTAAGGTATGGTAAAATCTGCAGTAGACATTGCGCAATTATCAACTGACACCCAATCATCGTGTTGTTGATGTAAGGTATGGTAACATCAGCAGTAGACATTGCGCATCCTATAGGTCATGTCATCTCTCAGTCTATATGTTATTGAAAAACAGTCTTTCGTATAACGATGTTACGTGTTCTCCTACAGGATTTGCGTCGACGGTCCGTATGGAAGTCCCTGCATGGTAATGTCTTTTGAAATTAGAATCTTGTTTAGATAAATCTTACTTTTCAATACACAATTTCAATGTTTTTGAATCTTACTATTCAATAAATTTTATCCAATAATACGATCATTTGATTGATCAATAGGACGTGGCGCAGTACGAAGTAAGTCTCTGTATTGCTACTGGGATTGGAGTTACACCATTCGCAGCTCTTTTAAACAACCTAAGGTAACTATTCAACAGACTTTACAACACGTGTACTGTCCTGCTTCTCCGTGACAGATCAAGTTGATTTTTGAAACACAGTTATGGGAACTAGAATTGTCTTTCCCTTTTTCTTTCAGAATGGAAAAATTATTGAAGCAAAGAACAAACTATCCTCGTCGCATTTATTTCATCTGGGTTAGTCGAGATGTTATCTCACATCGTTGGTTTATCGATATTCTCTACTCTAAGCATCTACAAGTAGGTAACATTTGTTATTGATTTAGACCAGTCCCACTAGTAAGTATGTATGATATCCAATACGAGCGGATCAGCGTCTGGTTTGCGCAACGTAAGAATGGTCTAGATCTGCGCCTGAAATCAGTCAGTACCACAAACTAATAAGTTCATAAGAATCCAGGCACACCATGCAGGTTTTCTGAGAATAGAACCCCTGAACGACCATACGACAGGTATTGTGTATCTTTTTTCCCCAGCTATGGGAGAGTAATTGCCCAGATGTCCTAGTCTGAAGATTTTATGTCACTGTAAAGCAACCTCGGCCAGCTGACCACAAGGTATCAAGTGTATCAGATATATAGTGGAAAAATTCTACCTGCTAATAATTTAAGTTTACTAGATACGTTTTTTAAATTAAATTTAAAAGGGTTGATGAAAGATGTTACTGAAGAGTATTCATTGAAATTACTTCCTCTGTTTGAAAGACAAACCTAAAGCATAAAAATGCTCACTATCCAATCACAGTGCTTGGATTTGCAAGCCATTTCAGAGTTGCGCGCGTTTTTCACTCATGATCTTAATTAATTGTATTAGGCGTCATTTCCCACCAGTTACTGGGTGTATTGTTGCTCTTATTTAAGAAAACCTCAACGCAACGTTAATAGATAATTTCTGATCATAGTATAAAACTTACAAAAATTCCTATTTCTCAAGGCTTGTGAAAATCAATGTACCACGTCATCATGGATGAGAGCAAGACTTACACAAGGGCGGCCTGACTGGCAATCAATATTCAGGAGAGTGGCTCAAGAAAACCCTAGGTAAGCTGTCAACTACAGCTGCAGGTACCTCGTGTCCCCTCTCGATCGCTCTTTTTTTATTGTTCTTTTCTTGGTTTTGTAGATCGACTGTTGGAGTATTTTACTGTGGCACGAAAAACGTCTCTTCAAAACTGAGGAAGTTGTGCAATAAATCTAACAAGACTAAAACTATTTTTGTTTACAACAAGGAGATTTTGTAATCTTTAGAATAAGTTAACAGATGTTTTAGATAAAGTGTATTCTTTATTATAGCACAATTAATACTAATTAGATCAACATGTAGCCGCTTTGATGTGATGATTTCGATCTCGATGTACTAATGCTCATCGCGTAGCCACGTTGTGGGACTACGATTAACTTGAGTGGCGTAAGTCGTGAGGTCTTACACTGAGGATCTGCCGATTTTTTAGCCGGGGGGGTACTACCACCCCAACTTGGGTAGGGGTGTGCCGCCAGGACCTCATAACCCTGACCCTATCCCAGACCTAAAATTTTGATTTTACATGCCCTACCCTAGGCTAAAACTAAGAATTGTACACCCTATCCCAGACTAGAAAACGGAAAATATGGTTTTACAATCGATTGCAATCAATATTTACTAACGTTTTTATTGTTTTTGTGTTGGCAGAAAGCGTAGCCTATTCGCCAGACAAAAA